GAGGTGAGACGAGCAACAGAGCAAAGGGTCCTCCTGAATAGTCAATACCATATTCTTGTTTCGAAGATTTTGGCACAAGGCGGGCTTGTGTAGCGCTCAATAGTACATCAGAGCAGTTTTGATTTTGTACGACATCTTGTCATGCACATGGCAATCTTGCCAGGAGGGAAGATCAACATGCTCCCAACGGTGAGTTTTGTCTAAGCCTGCAAATTTCATCAGTCGATAGCTTGCTGCAAAGAGGATTAGAGCGAGCTCCGATAGGCAGGTCGGTTCATAAAGTGAAAATTGAGTTGCAACAACAATAAAGTCTAACGAAGACGATAGTGGAAGGTTATAGTCTAACCGGTCGGTGTGTCGAGTAGAGACAGGAGGACCAAGAGGGAGAGACTGCACCAGGAGGGGACGGACCCCGAGGGTAGCAAGAGCAGGACCATCAAAGAGGGAGCCGGTGCATTGGGACAGACCAGAAGGCAAGGCAGTCTCGAGAGGTGGTGGAGTAAGCTCATCAGGAGTCTCGAGAGGGCCCGGCAAGGAGGGATGAAGGAAGCTCATCCGAGACAGATTCCATGGAAGGGTCCAGTAAAAAAACAGGAGGGTAGAGGGACGGACAAACTGCGGAAAGAGAGAGAGAGAACAATTTTGTGGTTCCCATAAAGAATGATGGACGAGAGATAGCGGAGTCGCTGGGAGAGAGGATCCCAATACCAGTATAGCCTGTGTTCAATATCCTGATATTACTAGAAGGCAACAAGGCGAGAACGTGTGAGTCCAAGTTTGGTATCGTTCATGAGGTTTGAAGAAGACAAAACGATGCCCGACTCCATAAGACCCTAAGGTTGGTGTAAGGGGGCGGGCTGCCATGCAGACGTCATAAGCGAAGTGTGATTATGATGACAGGTGTAAGAGATAGCACGTTTGATAGTGATGAAGCAGCAGTGAGAGTCTGCCTTCTCCCAAAATTGTTCCGGACAAGGTGAAACAAACAGGAGAGCTCGAGTAAGTGTCAAGAATATGTCGATGTTTCCGTTCAGCACGCCAATTTTGTTGGGCAGTTCTTGAGGCCAGGAACGATGATGGTTGAGTCCATGACTCTGAAGAAAGGAAAGAAAGTCGAAAATCTTTATTTCTGGCATTGTAGAGCGAAAAAGCTTAATAGTTTATAGCAATTGTGTTTTAACCATTGTAGCAAATTCGCTAATAAAGTTGTTTGGAAGCTCGAGAGCGCATTTTTCATAAGAAACAACCAGGGAAGCGGGAAATATCATTTATAAAACAAATAAAATAGCGTGCACTCCCATAGTAGGAGTCAGGAAGAGAGGTCCCAAATATAGCAATGATGAGATCAAATGGTGCAGAGAGAAACAGAGTCACTTTTTATTAATCGACTAAAGCATGGTTTGTTTGGCAGAGTTGACAGGAACACACAATCTAAACAACATCAGAACATTACATGACTAAATGCAACACTGGAAATGTAGAGATTTTAAACGACCAACAAGAAAGTGCTAAACGAAAGCCAAAGCTGAAAAGGAGATCCGCTAAAGGGGAGCAGTGGTACAGCAGTGGTAGGAGCTGTGATTGTAGAGCAGGAATCTGGAACATGAAGATGGACTGAGTTCGTAGAGACGTCCATAGCTACGGCCGATCCCAAGAAGTTTGCCCCAGTCCGAGGGTCCTGCACCAAACAACGCAGTACGGGAAAAGGTAACAGTTAGACCAATGCTCACATAATTGGACTAATGGAGATAAGAATTTAAAGTAAGAGCAGGGCATAAAGATCAGACATGGGATAAATAGATAGTGAGAGTGACAACAGAACACACATGATTGACGAAGAAGAGACCATCAGCAGTTGGATAGAGGAACAGGAGGATAGAAGAAAGAGAGAGTAAAAAAGTCACGGGTCCAAAAGTCATGTGATTACAAACAAGCAGAGTACAAAGTACCAGAAGTGTCTACCTGCGGTGACAGATAAGCAGTAGATGGAGGATAGGCAAAATACTGTCAAAAAATGTTTGAAACTAGGCTGCGACATCAGTTTGAGAGAAGACTGGCAGTGGAAGGGTCCATAGGGACCTGAGGAAGGTAAATTCTCTCGAGGCGCAGCACAGATTCGTTGGGCCAGGCTTGGTTTAAACGAGTCCCAGAACGGATGAGTAAGTGGCTGCCGAGAAAATTCCCGTGGGATGGGAGACCATTGCGAGAGACACGGGCTGGATTGCGGAAGCAATCTGTTGGAGATAGACTAGGGGCGGTCTTTTGTCGCAAAAGCCAAAACGAACTGGACAATTACAGAAAGATGATCGACGGAAGCATGACCGGTTGCTGACAGTAATTTGCAGGGGCATTCAGGACGTGGGGGGGGTGGGGGGGTGGGGGGGGGAGGTGTAGGAAGGGAACGTCGGATCTGGGGAGTGGGAAAGAACAGAGTCCACAGGGTGTGGAGGAGAGTACTAAACTCCTGGTTTTCCTTCGGACAGAATTTCAGAATTGCTTGCTCAAGAGTGGTTAAAGGAGTGCGATGAAGGAGAGATTGCGCGGATTGGTCAAATGCGGGGAGTCGAGAGCCATGAGAAAGACTGATCTAGCCGTGTTGGTCACGGTAAGGCGATAACACGGTAGCATCTTAGTACATCCACGAGGTTCAGAAAGAGCGAGCTATCCAAGCATAATACATTTTGTGGATGAGAAAATCATTAATGGTTTGAGTTGTTTCTTGACGCATCGTGAAAAGATGACTTCAGAAGCTGATATTGGTGAGCAAAGGCTAGTACGTGTTGTAGCGTTCTTTGTAAAAATTCCCAGATTTCCTTTGGCACGGAAGAAGCAGAGTGCAAGTTGGAACGACCAAATGAAGGCTGATAGATGTAATAAGAAGTATTGCGAAACCAAGTGATTATCTGAGTTTTTACTATCCAATCTTCCAGTCGCGACGATTTGGCAGCGGAGTCCGTGGTAGTGGAATCTGTGGTCGCCTTGAACGGGTTTGCATACATCCCAGTGATGATGGCGCCAAGTTTCTTTTCTTTCTGAGGAAGCCCAGCCATACTGTGCCCATAAGACAATACTTAGTCCCGTAAGAATTACACGAAATCAGGTTGGGTAGAGGAGTCCCAAGCGATCCATGAGCAAAAATAGCACAAATGAGGGAGAATCCAAAAACCGAGAGATACAGTGAATTCAGATGGTCAAAATTAGTAGAAAAGGAGTGACACGGAGACCAAAAAATATGACAGAAAGGCTGAAAATAGGAGAAGTCAACGCTGCTGGTCACAAAACGGATGGGGGCGCACGTTTACGCAGAGCACGCTGGCGGGCGACAACGTTAGCAGAGTAGAACGATACCAGAGCCGCACCGGAAGCAGTCAGGGCTGAAGTAGCTTGACGTCAGAACACAACGCGGCTCACGTTAGCAGATGAGGCGTGGCGCACGATAGCACAGGACAGTGTACGGAAGCCCGCGTAGCAGCGCGTCATGGAACGGTCAAGCGGTGGCAAATGTTTGCTGGCGGACGCGTGGTGGCGCGTGATGCACGTCTAGATGAAGGCTCGATATCTGGTGGGCGTTGGCTCGTCGTGGAGAAGACGAAGGTGGGGGTTATGGTCAAATCTGTGATTTAGGTAAGGGGAGAGGTACGCAGTAATCTGCCAAGAAAAATTGTGCATGCAGGACGACTTAGGAACAATACTGTGCTTCTGAGTAAGCATGAAAGACAATGTAAGACAATTTGGAAAGACAATTGAGGAGAGTCATATTGAAAAGAGATTGTAATCGTAACTCTATGTTTTTGAAACACGGATGTAAGGCCCATTATATAGGGAGCTTGGTTAAGGTGGAACATTATGATTGTACACTTTGACTATACATCAGAACAGGGGCAGAAAGATGGCCGAATCGCCGAAAAGCAAAGGGAATCCTATTCTATTGTCTAGTAGCTAATATCTATTAACAGATTTATTCGTGTATATAGTTATATACATATTGTATATTATTATATTCATATATTATTATATTCTTATATTAACAAAAAAGATGCGATAGGTAGGTTAAATAGAAGAGTTCTAATAGGTGATGCAATAGTTAGGTAGAGTAGAAGGATATAGCTGTGGTGGTGGTGATGTGGAATAGGAAAGTTGTAGTGGTTGTGGCTGGGTAGTGGGTTGAGGTGGGGTTTGGAGCAAATTTGGAGAGATTGTGTAAAAGTGGTATTTGTGGATGGTGTTGCAAGTTCATAATGGTTATAAGTGAAGGGTGATGAATGACCTCCGGCAGTTTGATGGCTGCGAGTGTTTTATCTTATAGATGGCGATCACATGACGGTTCTGATCATCGTTTTTATTGAATCTTTATTATCAAGTACATGATTTGTATGTGTCCATAGATATATAATTGCAAAACTAATAAAAAAATACAAAGGTAAATATATGATATGCGTTTTCATGAAATGATCCTAACCTATCCTTCAAAAAAATAATAATTAAAAAATATTGACATGCCACGTGATGTATTGGACATGTGGACAAGGCACCCATTTTGGAGAATTGATGCTTCTTAGTTCAGAACTTCATCACTATTTTCCTCAACCTAGTTCAAAAACTGTTCGTGCGATAATGAAAGTTTTGAGATTAATAGTAATCTTAATGAATGTTTTGTCTTAAAGTGAAAAGCCGCAATTCAACTACATCATTTATGAATAAAATTCTGTACTCTGCTTTATATGAGCATTACCCTCTTAACTTGTGCATGTTTGCTGCTATGCCTTTAAGAAGTTAGGCAAAGACTTTTCAAGTGAGTTGGTGCTAAGTCAGTCAGACCTTGGCATTCACAAAATTTCACTACTCCAATTACATAGCAAACTAGTAACTAAAGTAAGAAAGTGAAGCATACATAAGAGTTTTTGCATCATGAGATACAGATGTGATCCATAAGGGAGATCCATCATACGTGAGACCTACCTTTGTTTCACATCTTCATCCTATTCTGTGAAATTCTTGTGTTAGTAGCATTGGCAAACATCATTTTGCTCCAATGCAGAAGTCCATATATATAAAGGTCAATGAATAAAATGAATTATAACACGAGTGTTTCTTACAGATGCAACAGATTTGATATCAAATTCCACCCCATCCATGTCTTTTTGTCAGAAGGAGATTCAAAATGAAGTTGAAACATTTCCTTAGAAGCATGTTCACCAGATTCACAAAATCCAACAAGCTTTGCTACAATTTCAGCACTTTCTTGTACATGTTGCTTGTTAAGAGGGTCTGTCCACAACTTGTTCACCAGTTGCAGCCTCCTCCTTTGTTTTCCTTCTGGTTCGATATCCCATTTCATGTAAAGCATCTCCCTTTCTTCTGCTGTTAATTTTGAACTCACTCTCTTTGCTAGATATTCTCTTTCCTGCTTGAGTGCCCTGATACTATGTTCAAAACCAAGCAGCAATGAACTTCAATCAAATATGAACAACACACACACATACACACCAATATGGGTAAGAAATGAGAAAGATACATATTAAAGACACTGAAATACCTTGATGAAACAGAACCAGCAGGTTCATCACCCAAGAGTGCTGGGCTTGCATTGCCAAGTTCTGCTAAGTGTTGCTCCAACCATGTCAACCTTCTAAGCTCAACTTCCATGTATATCTGATCAGCGGGGTCTCCTCTAAATAACAAATAAAACTGTGTACGGTGTACAATTGAAACATGGCACAAATGCCACAACATGATGATTTGCTGTCTCTGATCCTCAAACATCAAAGGCCATGCCATGGGAGATTGATCAACTATATCTGTCTCATCATTTGTAGCCTCATTTGACTCTAGCTCTAACACCTGATTTATGGAATATATAACACATATCAAGGTGAAGGCAAAAGCACCACGCTCAAAAATAGAATTACAATATAGTATACGTCTGATGCTATCAACATCACATAATAAAAATCATGGTCCATGTATTTATTTGAAAATGGAAAAAATAAAGTGGTTGAGTTTAAAAATCCCTCTTGCACTTCTAACATCAGTAAAGAATAAAACTAACAGATTTTGTCGCTTTGCACAGCGCAAAATTATCTACTCTGTAACACACAAGCTTGCTCCCTTCTGTGCATACTAAAATCCTTCAAATTTCACCAAATTCACTAATTTATGTATCATTTCCAACATAAGTAAGAGGCAATAATCAAAATGAGTAACTTTGATCATCCATGTGCGTAAGTTACATACTAATCATCAAAGTCAAGGCCTTAAGTTCATGAATCATGTCTTGCAAGTTGCTAGATAACTTTTGTTTGATGTAGGTAATTGCTTTTGTTTTGATTACGCACATTATTCAAGTTCTTTAAGTCATAT